CTACTGGCACAAATCTTGAACCATTTCCCTGCATCTCCTCTTGATAGTGGGCAGACATCACACACCTCCATCGCCCAACTAATGACAACTATCTGCCAACAAGCTTTAGAGATACAAAGTTTATTTCTATCTGACTTCACACTTTGAGTTGGTTATGGGTGGCACATTTGYTGCTCTTCAGCAAGAAAGTTGCGGGATTAAATATTGGGTGGATCGCATGCTCTGTCTGGCTACTCCAATTTCCTTCCACAGACCAAAAACCTGCACGTTACAATAATTGGTAGTTCTAAAATGTCTCTAGGTGAGAAGATGTATGGTTGTTTGTCTTCATGTAACCCTGTGATGGATTTCAGACCTGTCCAGCATACCTCTCACACAGTGACTTCTAGACATACTGTTTGCACCCGTAACATGAAAATCAAAAGGCAGGTTAAGATAATGGATGAATGAATGGATGTTAATATTTAGCATAATACACATGTGAATGGATGCTGATTGCATAAACTGGAGAAGTCCATTTTTTTTCCTGGAGAAATAAACATCAGTCTTCATGGTAAAAATCTTACCTGAGTGTGCAACCACAGAAAAGTTCTTGCCACTTACGGAGTAATTTGAAAATTAAAAAGTGACAGAGGAAAAAAATARCAATAAATTGGCAGCATTAGCTCCTTGTCACATTGTGTAAATTGTCTCAGGCGCACCCCTCTGCTGTATGGACTTTTCCTGTAGAGCCGAACTTAAAGCACTTTCTTTTTGACAAGTGCGGATGTAAAACGGACCTCAGATGCATATAGCGAACCTCAATCTTCTGAGGTCAAACTTCCTCCAGGTTTTCTATTATAAGGCTCAAGACAAAGCCTTAATTTTCTGCCAAAACAAAAACTACTAATGACAATAATAAAAAAAAAGTCCTACGTTGGTGCAGAAAGCCCCCTACACTGCAAACTACTGAGGTTTTAGCTGTTTTTAACATTTCCATTCATTCCCTGTYATTGAACATATGAATCACAAACTCTAGAGCCTTTATGAATTGCTCCATCACCCTGACAAGCTGCAGATGGTATGCTGGTCTGAATAGATGTGATGACTAGTGATTCATACAGCTCATATAGACGTGAACAAAGTACATTGGCTCATCAGGATCTATTTTGGGGTTCTGAGGAGATGACCAGGAAATATGTTTATGCAGAGTGCTGCCATGACATTTTTACAGCATACATTTAATGTGATGTGATGCGATGATAATGTGACACATCACACTATATCCATCCATAAGCTTTCTAACAGCATCCTAATTAACAAAAGACACATTGGGTGCTTCTGGATTAATCTCACTTTCTGGGCAGGACACAAACTGGTTAATTCTCCAGCTTTGTTCAAATTCTTTTTTAACCCAATTATTCTGTTATTGTGAGCTGATTGGAAATATTCTCTTTTAGGCACCCACAAATATGTTTTATATTACAGAAACAACATGCCTGAAACTAGCCCTTGCCTTCCTATGCATTTCCTTTCATTTCTAGTTTCCCTTCACTGCTCCGTCTGGGATTTCTCCCATACACAAGGATTTCTTCGGGAGTATTTCATCTGGGCCAATCAGAGAACAGAACGTTGATTTTCTGTGCAGTTTCTTTTTGTAGTTTATTTTACCTGGGTTAATCAGCAAACAGAAGGTGGAGTTTTGAATGACGTCAATTTTCTGCACAGTGTCTGCTAGTTAGTTTAGCAATGGCAGTGGAGGAAATGAATGAAGCCAGGCCGTGTTGATAAAGCTTCCAAATTAAATTAAATYTRTCTGACAAAGCAGCAGCTCTCATCTACAGCTGTCTCGTTTGGCTCGGTACTTTTCTCCTCTCAGCAGGGTTGTTTACAGCGCATGGGATTTCCGCTTAGCTTCTTAGCTTAGCCTCCTTCACAGTCGAGCTGGCACACATACATCGCGGCCAACCAATTCATTTTAAACTTCAACAGAGGCCACGCCTCCAGCAGGAATCACTTCTCAATAGCCCAGAGTCCAGACCCTCGTACAAAGCAAAGTGAAGGACGGGGGTCTGGTTTTTACCAGGCTAGCCTGAAACTGAAAAAGAGCAGATTTGAAAGCAGCAGGTTGTGCTACACCATGTATCATTCATCTGTCATTATACAACCCCTGGCAAAAAGTATGGAATCACCAGTCTTGGATGAGCACTCATTCAGACATTTCATTCTGTAAAACAAACTCAGATCATGATTCCATACTTTTTGCCGCGGGTTGTAGCATGAAATCCGTTATGTAGAATATTTTATTTTTGAGTTGTTTATGTCAACAGGTGAGGCCTCACATGACCTCACTACGCAGGGTACTTCAGTCTCATATTAACTGTCACCACTGTGGGCAGCACATATTGTAGACCACAGAAGTCTACAGGTCATAGACTCAACTCACCAAATAAGGTCTCACAAATCAGATAAGCCTAGTCAATGTGGGAAACTGAAAAAAACAAAAAACAAACAAACATTAGATCTATGTCTATTGTTCCAGTTGCATAGTTTAAAAAGACAGTGAGAGCATTGCTCGAAGACAGCTAGACATGCTTTTAGCATTTTCTGCTTCAATCTCGGTTGTCACATGTTTGTACCCTGAACCTACCCTAGTTGTTAACCCCTCACATGGTCTGTACTACARCCCTAATTTTTGTATTTGATGTTTGATTGTCAACTGTTAGTATGTTGTCCATCTTGTGTTCTCCTGTTCTTGTATTTGCTGCCTTTTGAATAAACTAAATAAAGATCAAATAAATATAAGAAAAAAATCTATGTTGAATCAGAGAGTGTGTAAGTTAGGAGCCTACACACTCTTTGTCTTGTATTTTACTTTGCTTTACCCACTTGAGCATCATCATATTCATACCTAACTTCTACCAAATATGCCCTCTAAGTGATCCAGATAGAATCAGGTTCTGGTGGAAWTGAGACTGTGTTTTGCCTAATTCTACCGTCAACTGCCTTTAATCTCAGCAAATGTCTAGGAATGTTGTTCATCCAGGCTGAGTCCTAACACTATAAAAGAACAGTCTCTGTGGATATGGCTGAGTTGCCCTTTCTGCCATGCTACTTGAGAAGTTCCCAGAGGGGCTGGAAATAGGATCTGTTTTGGTTGATCTAAAGACCAATGGAGGAGGCRGATGAAAACATGAATAAACAGAAAAAAACAAAGGCCTGAAAAGGACCAAATGAGAAATGGTCATAAAAATCTATGATGTCTGTCATGGCCGGCTCTTGTCATTTTAGTGCTCTAGGCAAGATTTTATGTGGTGCCCTTTGTGAAAAATTCTAAATCTCACTACCAATTTACATACATCCACATACCAAATTAAATAGTTCATCTTTCTTTGTTTAATCTTTAGAAAACAGATTGTCCAGTTAAAATGGTTAACATTATATTTAATTTGAAACAGAATACCAGAAGTCTAGCTCATACTGTCTCTGCCAACATTTGCTGATGAGGAACACCTTTTCACGTTAACAAGCAACTTTAGAGTGGAACAGTTGTAGGGGGGTTTAGGGTATATTCACCCAGACAATTCTGTAAAAGATCTACTCAAAATATACATTTTCTAGCCATTTGAAGTAATTTAAGAAGTTAGAACATTGAAAAACAGATTTTAACCAGAACTTCATCTGAGATCAGAAATGAAACTTCCATTATTCTTCATTGTTTTGTTTTCTATTTACACACTGAGCACCAATAGTTAGTCTTGACTGCATCATGTAATACCATATATGCCAACCCCTTCGGTTGTTTGCCTGTATCAGGACCCTCAAAATTTGTTGATTTTCACAAAAAAATTGTAGTACTCACATGTGGGAGGGGGTTTCAGATGGACTGCCGGTTGCAGAGAAAGACAGAATGTGGGGCRGAGATAACAGCGTTATCTGTTATGGGATTATTGTCCTACAGGCTCTGATGTCAAACATATTTGAAGCTGAGTTTGTGAAAAAAAATGCATGAGATTTTAAAAATTCTATGAGATTGCCCTATACATCTGTAAAACTGAAACATGGGGGAAAGCCATGTAATTTACAAACAATCCATACAACTTGACATATATGTGATATCTTTATCACATACATGCATGTGGTAAAACTCKATATGTAATATCAAAGCAGCTGAGAAACCCACAGAACTATTTGTCTTTATAAACTTGAATAACCAATGACTGTTCTACAGACCAAATCGACTATACTCTAATAAAAACTTATAAACTGTTTTTTTACCCAATTTTGCACCACCTAGACCCTTAACATCTGCCTATGCTGCCTATGCCACAGGCCAACCCTTATGTCTGTATGGTGCTTAAACCATGTAAGGGAAGACAGGCAATGGTTCTAACAAGATGAAGAAAACAATACATTTTTTTCTGCCAGGAGGGACAACAAAGTAAATAAAAAAAAAACAATAAAGATTCCTATTGTTGTAATATAAATGTCTTAATCCCCATGCTGACATTAAACATTCAGAGTTGAACAAAAACTTAAGAAAACACAAAATGCTCAATTTATCAGGGGAAAAAATGCATCAAGTGCAGCTACCAAAAATTAATTCTGACAGATCTGCTGAATGGCTGATTGATGTCTCCGTCCTTGTCAAATCAAGTTTGTAATAACAGTGTTAAAAAAATGTAATCAAGTAAAGTCAAAGTCAAAGCAGAATTAATAGCTTCTGTCAGCTTTCCAGATTGAAAACAGGAGTTTGGTCATTGAGTTTCTGGGGATGGCACAGGCAAGCGTCATTCTTATTGGCATTTGATGGAGACAAGTCACATTGATTGATATGAGCTGTCCTCATCATATGAATATAAAAGCAGGCTATTCGACGCAGAGATCAGTTGTTACTTTCTGACTCGTCTCATGCTAACTGATGTGAYGTGACAACATTCGAGGCGCAGCCACAGTGTAATCAATATATTATAGGCATTGATCTCAAAAGCCAACGAATGACCCATTCATTAAACATAAAAGTGTTTTATTCCTTTCACTTTAATGTTTTAAAAACTTTCCTTTCTGGAACATAAAATAAACAGAAGACAAGTAAACTGAAGATGCTGCCATTAGTTTGCAAAAATACAATGATTAGCTAAAAGGTTCATCTTCCATGATTTTTTAGGGGTTTCTAACTGAACCAGTAAAATCATTTCTTAGCATTACGTTTACAAAAAAACAAAAATAAAAAAATGAAACAAAGCCTGTGTAGCATTATTTGTATCTATGAATGTTCAGAAACGCTAAAAGTGTTAATGGAGCTGATCTAATACATTCTAGTTTCGGCTGCTCTCCTGTTTCTTGTGAACATTTGAGGTTTTACTGCTCTCTCTGGCCATCAGCGATCGCCTCAYTCTGCTGGACATGGATCCCAAGGGTCGGATCTTCATCTCTGTGAAGTCGAGGGATGTCAGGTGTCCCTTCCATGGTTCCCAGTTGACTCCCTAACAGCGAAGTGGCAGATTGAATGAGAAACAAGAAGAAGCGATGAGATAAAGGTGGAAGGAAAACGGAGAAATGCGGTCACAAAAGAGAAAGGCAGCATCATGACAGACAGGTAGAATGACAAAAAAAGTAATAAGCACCAGCCTCTGGTTTCATATCATGTGAGCTCAAACTTCTTTTGACTGTTATTGCATTTTGGCGACAAACACTGGAGGAGACATCTGCAACAGAATTATTACGGATAGAATCTCGACAAGACAAGAGAAATCCCTTGACATTTTCTGAAGTATCAGTCTGCCTAAGACATAATAACTGTTGTTGTTTCCCTATCAGCCCCGTGAAAAAAAGAAAAAAAAAAGCACTGAAGGTTTGAAGCCAGTTTGAGAAATGTGTTTTCTTATCACTCATGATGGATTCTAGTCATTTCAGCTTCTTCCCAACAATCCAAACCCTAACAACAACAATGACAAAAAAAAAAAAAAAGACTGGGAGGAAGTGTTCTTGATTGTTGAGCAGGAAACAATCTCCTGGGGAGCATTTTGTTTGAATTTCAGTAAACAAAAAGCTAAAAAAGGGATGTATTTTTCAGGTATTTTAAGTAGTTGTTTGATTTGTATTATGTTAGTTTTAAAACAAAAAGTAGATATTTTTTTGTTGCAAGCAGACAATGTTCACATTTTTTGTAAGCTTTTGAAGTGAAAATTATTTTACAAAGCATTTAAACAACTCATTCAAATACTAATATGAATAAAACAAGAAAATAAATACCTTTTTTTTACTGAACTGAACTAAAAGATCTTATTCTTCTAAGAAAGTTTGCATTATTTTTTTACACTCGGAGTCACGAATATTGATTTTGMTTCTAGTTTGTTTCCTGTTTTATTTTGAAAAGGTAGCGACCTCGCCTGACACCGTTAATTGCTTCCTACTCTTTGACTGATTGTTTTTTTTTCTGTTCTTAAAATCCTCCACTCAGTTCACTTGGTGTGACGCATATTTAAAGTGCTGTGTTTTCTTTATTCACTTAACCTTTTATTTTTTCCTTGCTGCAGAGCTTTCTCCTTGCTCACTCACCATGCTGTGTCTGGTGTCACCCCATTTGCCGTTGAGGTTGGCCAAGTGACAGTTTTTGTACCACCAGGCGCCTCGGTGGGTCAGGGCACAGTTTCCCAGAGAAATGTCATTATCTAAATCAATGGTTGTCCAGGGGCGTCCTTCATGGTAGGTCATGGCATCACCTGAACGTCATCAACAAAACACACTGTGTTACAAGTGGCTGTGTCAGCGAGTTAACAACTCTGTGCTTTAAAACTGTTCCACACKCTATCCTTATTACTGTTTCTGTTTAAAACAGCCTCCACAACTCTCACAATCTTAGTTCTAACATAAAAAAGCCCTGTTAGTATTAAACCCACCTGCTGTCCCTCTGTATTTGCCAATGGTGAGCGTAAACTTCTGCTTGACTGGTGCGATCTTAAACTTGTCATATACTGCATAGGCCCTCTCTGAGCCCAGGCCCAGGTCAAACCTCAGCTCATATTGAGTAGGAGTGTTGGTTAGCTCATATATCTTCTCCAAACCTGAGGCAGCAGATGGACAAACAGGATAAACACCTAATGCGTGCATGGTTTATTATCTGCAGAGACACCTTCAAAGATCACTGCCTCGCTCACCRAGCCAGAACTCCTCTGTTAGGTTGCCAAAACCTGCTATGTACTGCTTCCAGCGTTTCATGAAGTCCAGCTTGCCAGTGTTACGACGCTGCAACACCTGAAAGCAGCAGGAACARGATTTGACAGACAGATGTTCCACGAATAAAACGACACATGTGCTTAAAGTGGTTGCTCATTGTGATTTCAGAAGTAACTGTAAGCATTTAGCACTACAAAAATTTAGAATTATGCTGGGATGAAAAGAAAAAATATATTTTTCAAAAGTGTCAAAACTGAAGAGAGGACAAGATATCATGTTAACTGTCTTGAGGGCATAACCAAAATCTACTTCTCAGGCATTAAAAAAGAGCGGAACTAAAAAAAAATAGGGACTATTTCAAATAAATAAATTGTTCATATTATAATCACAAATACTGATATTGACTTAATAGGTTCTGTAGAACTGATCAATAAAACCTACCAGCCAGCCGCCTCCATCCGTGTCCATGTCGCAAAAAACTTCTATTGGTTTCGAGTGGTCATTGTTAATGWACATGGTGTAGATGCCACTGTTTCTATTGCCATTCTTCATAATCTGTACGCAGTCCATGGGGAAGGGGTACAGCAAGCCCACTAATGAAGAGGATGTAATAATATCAAACTAATTGAAAGTTGAAGAGAAAAGCTGTTTAATTGTGAAGGTATAGATACACTACAGACCAGTTTTGAAGGTGGTCTCTGCCATCTTGCTCCTCTTGTAGCCTCTGTAGGCGATAATGGTCACAATATATCTCTTTCCCATCTCCAGGTTGGATGCAGTAAAGCTTCTTTGGTCGGCTCCGAGCTTCCTTTCAACWGTCTACTCACAACACAAAAAGCAGAAATGATTTTGATGAAGCCTTTTTATGATATATTTTCACACATTATATTAAAATCATATACTTACATACATTTAATCAAGTTCATGAAATGCTTAACGATGATTTATAAAATTTGTATTTAACTGAGAATGAACATAAAGCTCAGCAGATATGTTTTGTTTGTGGCCACAAGAGGTCAGTATTCTACAGTGCTTAGATTCAACATGTAACCTTTACTGTGAAGTATTTTATATTCCCTTTTTATTTAAAACAAGTTGACAGAAATGCATTTGTGCACTCCCACTAACTGACATGCACCACACATASCTCAGAGTTTTAGTTCTAATGGCAAACAGTTATTCTAAAGTAGAAAAAGCATTTGTAGGGTTTTAATTGATTTATGAACCTCTTAATAATGTCTGCTTATGGTTAATATAATCACAGTACCTCTATTTTCCCCTCTTCATCCCTGTAGGTGAGAATGTAACCCTCAATGTCTGCCAGAGGAGGAATCCAACTCAAAGAAGCAGAGTCCAGTTTCAAGTCTGAAACTTTTAGGTCTTTTGGGGGGTCAATATCTGTGAATGWAAATAATAACGTATTACACAAGGGCATTAACTTGATAATTAACATGTCTTCTAAAGACTTTGTTGACTAAGTAAGTCAAGGCTTTTACTCCTTTAGAGCTTCTTCACTGATACAACTGTAAATCCTACTGTAAAGATGTTAATTTTCCAACATTTTAATTTTTGTCTCTTGGAGTACAATCCTTCCTGATACTCATCCATCATTGCTCAGGTGCTTATTAAACTCCAAGTGTTTGTTTGTACAGCTATAGAGAATTTATTTATAGGACACATTTGAAAAACTATTTAGATCACCAGAGATTATTGCCATCTGCCTGCTCAGTTCTAATTTACAGATAAGCTGGCAGCTATAGTGTCTCTGATATTGAAATATATTGAGACTTTGACTTGAAAAAGATGCTGAAAGAAGAAACTTTGACCACAGCTCAARATATTAAAAAAATATTGTCACCAGAAGGTACGAAAATGTCTGAAATAATGCGGTGTTCTCATTTCAGAATGATCAAACTATCAAGTTTAGTAACTGTAAGCAAAAAAATCATTTATATTGGAAGAATAAAGCAATAAAAATGTGAAACTCARCATTATAATATAGTTGGTGGAAATACATGCTCTGCAGAAAGTTACAAAACAAAGTGTTGTTGGTTTGAAGGAGTTCTGACATATCAATGGTGCTTGTTACTTGGTCAAAATAAAGTCCAAAATGTACAAACACATGTCTTTCTGTACCCCAGAAGTATCTGATGTCATACCTTATCCTTTTGCACAGAGCTGGTCTGAGGCCAGTGATGAAAGTTACAATGAGAAATGTTTATAAAAAACTGATAATAAAAAACTCAGCCATTTACTGCGTTAGTGAAAACGATCAAGCGTTCACTTAGAGCTCCCAGGGGATTTTACAGATCGTCGAGCTTGCACAAAGATAGTCCTGTTCAAGCCTGCTCACATGTGCTGCCTCTTTTTACCACTTCCTGAGTTTTCAGACGTAAACAATGGTCTGCCTGTGGAAAGTATTACTTGGTAAAACAGAAGTTTTGTTGACTGTAAGAAATCTGTACTTTAATAAATCAACACTTTTATGGCATAGGAAATGATAGTTGCCCTCGTGTGTTGGGTAATCATCAATATGTCAGAAGACTAAACTTTAAATATGTATTTACATTTGTTTGAAATATAATGTGTGTTTTATGTTCCAAGTCTAAATCACATTAGGCCGCACTGAAAGTTGACCTATTAGACAGCCATCATTCCTTCAAAATTAAGGCCATGTGTGCCACCCTGACTGACTGGAAACTGTTATCGGTGGTGTCAAACTAATATTGTTTTATTAACAAGAAAAAAAAATCAGCCATACTCTGTTTGAGCCCAAGTACGCAACACCTCAAACCTTACTTTGTGCTACATTGTAAGAGTTAGAAGAATTAGAACACGCAGAGCTTTTTGATGGTTCGTGATAAAAAAATAAAATTTATTCTAAAAAAGTAAATACATTAGTACTTTGTTCAGCAATCTTACCCACTTAAGCAATCATTGCCCAAATGGTCCCCATATATCATTCCTTTGTATCATTTTTTGTGTATTTTACTCCATATGTGTACAATTTAATGACTGTGTTTCTCCTCAACATTGGCAGTATTGGTCCTCTCCTCTCTACATTGCCGTACAAACACACAATGATCAAGAGTGATAACACAAAACTGAGATTCATTGCTAAACATGACACAGTGCCACTTGACATCATCCCATGCCTCTCAGTTACAGCAGCCTTTTAAATGCAGCTGCCTCTTCTCTCCAGCCCACATGGGATCGAGGAACCAATAGTCTGGCTGATGACAGTCATCAAGACACGGTGCAAAAAGGCATGTGTTGTTGTAAAAAGTCAAATATTGGTGTTCTGATGGCAGGTGCACATGTCATGTGGTTCTGTAAAGCTTAGCGTGATCTGTTTTTGTGTCCTCACTTCCCCATTGGTTTAAGCATGAAGTTACTGAGACATCTGCATGTGCATTTGCACAATATGGTCACCTATGCAAACCTGCAATGCAACTACTATGAAACTCCGTCAAGAGCTGGTATTAATGCATCAAGGTTTCCTCATATCTGTTGACCTCCACTCACTGTTTACAAAAGAAAGATCCAATCAGAATCTGCCTGATTATATTGTATGAACTGCTCTCAGCTTTTGTTGAACCTTGTTTCCCTTGATGGCTCAGAGTAAATGGCTCCAGGTCTCAGGCTTGACAGCAAATAAAACATTTATCCAACATGCTGTCATGCACTGAAGATAGAATAAAAAAAGAAGACTGGAAAACTATTTTGGTTGAATGCATAAGTTGAACAAATGTATAGCCTAAGTTTAACATACAAATAACTTATCCATAACTTGTCTCTATCTTATTCATTACTTATATGTGTATGACAGTGTTTGTGACTTATGCAGAACTTATGGGCAGCATTAGTGCAACTTATGCTAAACTTATGAAGATCATRTTAGGGAATATTGCAAGATCAGAGTGATCTTCAGGATTAGCTTGTGGGACACATTTTACACACATTGRCATAAGTTGTCCAATATGTTATAGTGTGACAGAACCTTACAAGTGGGAGCCTTGCAGCCACCAGTTTCTGTCTGGATAGACTCCCATGATGGCTGAAACTATGGTTTGTTTCATATTTGGTTGAGAGATTAGCAAAAGTATCCAATTCCAGAAGATGGTAGTGGAAGAAATTTATTAATACAAGCAACAATATGGGGTATTTCATCTCTCAGTTGTTTAACTTTTTTTTAATTCGCTGCATTTAGGAATTGCACTCTGACAGTCTAAAAGTGAATGATTTGAAGGATATGAGGTGGCAGGAAGATCAATGAGTTTTGCCAGCAGCAGTAAGGCTCCAAATGGGTCTCAGCAATTTAGTTTTTATTAGATCTGAAATATTATTGTGACAAACTGAGCTAGACGAGTTTAATAAACTTTAATGTCACACACTTATTTGGTTCTAGCGAGGATGAAAACAAAGAATGTGCATAGACTGAACATGTTGGGAGGGTTGATGAATGGAAGGCAAACTGACAGATTTTGATGAAGAGGATCACTGACAAAACGTGACTGATCTGAATGTGGATCATCTTAATGAAAGAGTAAAAGTAACAGCATGGGGTTAAGGTACAGTTATAGCAATTTCACATAGATGCTGTGGTTTGATGAAGAAATGACTGCAGATATGATCTCAGATGGCGTCAGCTGAAAAGCTTTGACTTTCTTAACTCCCTTTTCAGTCTGCAGTTCAAATGTTCTAAAAAAAACTTTGATGGAAAAAACACATTTTTAGATGAAAGAGTCTGAGATCAAATTCACCAAGAAGAACGAATGATTCCATGACCTGAGCAAACTAAAAATAAAGTAGAAAGTATAACAAAGGAAATAAAATGTTACGGGGTAAAAAGTGGTTCTGAGTGCTTCTTTATACTTAAGCTTGATTGACTGAGATAAAGTTACAGGGCTGTTTTAGGACGTGTTAATTTGATCTTGCATGGACCTTCTTAAGGAGAGATGTGTTCACACATTAGCAGAAAAGCATGCATCAGTTGCTTTGATCATGATCCAAAACAGATGGGAAAAGAGATGAATGAACTTAAAAAAGAAATACGCTGTAAGATTCTTATGAAGAAACATTTTTTTCCTAGGGGGTACAAGAGAGTTTTCTTTCTATCTTGTCATGATACTCAGCAGATTTATCCCACCAATTGTGACATTTCACACCTGTCTCAGCTTGCGTTGTGATCCTCCTGCTGGCTTTGTTTCCTTTGAAGGCCCTGATGGTCACAGTGTAGAGAACTGCAGGTCTCATCCCAGTCAGCACATAGGAAGTGCTCTCCGGCCTCAAAAGGATTTCTCTGCTCGTGCCGTCAGGATGGCTGTAGGTCAGGATGTAGCCATCGATTTCTGCCTGGACTGGATCCCATGAGATGCTGAAGCTGGACTCTGTTTCAAGTCGAGCTGAGAGGTTAGCTGGAGCATCCAGTTCTAGAAGAAGATGTTTGTGGAGAACATTATTACAACAAATCAAACAATAAATGACAAAATAACAGCTAAAAAGAAAGATCGCAATAATTCTGGGTGATGGCAGATTTTTATTGATCTAATATGAAAGCTGCTATCTTTGCTCATAGTAGTGCTTCATGTGCTGAAGCATTATTTCTTTTTATCCAAATTGTTGCACATCTACAGTATATACTATGTATTTCTGTTCAAAAGAAAGGCTTTTTGCCATAMTTGATCAGTTCAGTAAATCACACATGATTAGGGGCATTATTTCTGAACAGAAAGTTATCAATCTGAGACCTGTCTCGACTTGCGTAGTGGTCTTCCTGCTGGTTTTGCTCCCCTTCACAGCCCAGACATAGACAGTGTAGATGACCCCTGGCTTAAGGCCGGTCATTACATAAGAACTGTCAGATCCAACGCGGATTTCCTCACTTGAGCCCTCAGGGGAACTATAGGTCAGCATGTAGCCATCGATGTCTGCCTGGGTGTGATCCCAGCTCACTCTGAAGCTGGAGTCTGTCTTGTCTCCAACCAAGAGGTTAGTAGGAGAGTCCAGCTCTGCATGGGAAGTTACGTTTAGTAGAACACAGCATTACTACATCCAGTGCAGAAACAGTAGAAACATGTGGCAGTACATAGATGAAACAAAAACACTCAAAAATGTGTCAAACTTGAATTAAACCATGTAACATTTTAGTTAAAAAATGTGTTGCTCAAGCTGCTTTGAAATTATACCAAAGATACACTTTTTAGATGTATGAATATATAT